CGCGATCCCGCAGCCGTTTCCCGTCTGCCCCCTCCCGCAGGCGAGATGGGAGGCGGGAGGCTCGGATGGAAGAGGGACCGGTTGCCTTTAGTTCCCTTCGCGGGTTTTACGAACTGAGCTTCAGCTTTGCTGGTTTTCTCTGAGGGTCACCGCCCGTAGCTCGGGCTGAATGGTGGTCCCTGCGCCTCGTTATCTCAGACCTGGCCGTGCCTGGAAAAGAGAATAGCGGAGTGCGGTGGAGAGTACATGGGAAGGAAATCAAGGAGCAGGCGGGGGGTGGGAAATGGAGCAGATCCTGAAGCAGCGGTGGGCGGACATCGGGCCTGCAAAGGCGACAACACTGCTTAGCTCCGAGTTGTCTCCATCTTCTACTCCTGTTTCTGGAGCTTGGCTTCATGTTTTTGAAGCCAGTAGTAAACACGCAGACAGCAAGCAACCAAAAACTTGTTTTTAATTTAGCCTGGAGATCTGATAGGTTAGGATGACTTAACATTGTCTGCAACTTTCAGAATATTTTGCGTAATTTTTACTAGCAAACTGTATTCCAATCTAATAATCCTTGCCTAAGAACCACAAGCAGACCAAGATTTTTCTACAAAGGAACAACATGTCCAGGTGGACACTTCTTTACTCTGATCCAAATACAAATCAGTGAAGTGGCTGCAGTTTTAATCTACTCTTCTGCTAAAGCTCCTCTCCCATGGATAGACAAATTCTAGAGAAAAACCCTGCAACTTGTGTTTAAGTTAGTCACTCAAGAATTCTGCCACAATGTTGGGGGTGCCCAAAATAAACAAGACTTTCAAGTTCTTGTGACTCCTTAATTTTACTAGTTGTGTTTTAGAAAACAGCTTTCCTGTTACTACTTTCTTTACCGTTAAACCTGTGATTTGAAATGAATGGGATACATTCTCACGCAGAACTGGATTTCTCCTGTCTCTGCTGAACGTTCTCGCATGGCAAAGTAACATGACTCAAACAGCCTCCACAGATTGATATCTTCACTTATTCTTGAAGCAGAAAAAACTGGAGCTTGTTTCTAAAATATGTACATGGGTTGTTAGATGAAAGGATGTAAAGCATCTCTACAAAATTAATGTCCTTCAGCGTGGAGTTATTTTCTCATTCTAGGCCATTGAATCATCTTTGTCTTGCTCAGCATTAACACTGCAGTTAACCACCAAGACAGCTATTCCTCCTAAAGAATTACGAGGTCATTATCTCACTTTGAATGCATTGTGTAACTTAGGCAACCAGGATTTCTTAAAGCAGCTTTGTTAGGTATTGTCATTATTTTCTTCTCAGAAAGTGGTATGAAGAAAGCTTTGAATGCTGGCAGAGATGACAGATTTAATTTCCTTACCTTTTTGCCCTTATTTTTGCATCACAATTGCTCAAGTGTTTTCTTTAGGGTTCTTTCTCCTGTTGTAAGCAAAGCTGGCTGAGCAGTAGATACTAACAGACTATCAGGATGAAGCTGAAAACACAGAAGCACCTTCAGTCTCTGCATTATTCCAGTTTCTTTAAAATAATCACTCTGTAGCCCTTGCTCTTGCATCTCTTAACAGCTGCAGTCAAAACAGATGCCCTCCCCAGTAAAATAATCTGTCCTTACTAGATGAGGGGTTTTTGTAAATGTCTCTAAAAAAAAAAAAGGCAACAAATTAATGGAGTATTTTTTTATTAGGCAAGTAATGTTGCTTACCAGAAGAAGACTGTTTTGCTTCAGAGCATTCTGACAGTTCGTCTGAATTATTTATGTGCCTACACTTCAAGCTCTTTAAGCAGGAACGATTCTTTTCTGCATAAGATACATTAACATAATAAAAAGTCTAAAAAATCCACTTCTGTCCCTGCAGAAAAAATGCTGAGAAGTCTGAAAGGACTTGTCTACTATCCTCTAAAGGTAAGTCCTTTAATAGTGTGATGCTGCTTCCAGTATTTCAGCTGTCCTGTGACCTGGAATGACAATTTACAGCTGCAAAAAGTGAGATTCTTCTTGTGAGCTGGTTGTGGAAACTTCCATTATGGGCAGGGGAAGAGAGAGGGACAGCCTGATTTTGCTCCTCTGTCATCTCTCTCCATTGGCTGGAAAGCCAGGACATGGCTGGATAGTTGACTTACATAAGACATTTGTTAGAAGACTAAATTTAGCGTTCTGAAATGCCTAGAATGCTGAAATTCTACACCTTTAGTGCAAGTGTTTCTCAGGAAATGGAGTGTGTACTTGCTTTGCACTGCTGGAAAGTAAAGAGGAAGAAGCCCTTGGTCAGAAGAGAACCACCAGCCTTTCACAAACCCTGTGTTGCTGGTGGGAAAATAATTGTGCCAAGGATGGCTCAGTGCTTCAGGCGGGTGTAGTAATGTTAACTGTCACAACAACCCAGCATGTTATCTCTAGTGGTTCCTTATCTTATAAACAGCATCATGAATTAATGTTGCATATCTGGCATGACTTCCTCATGGCAAATACTTCCAGTTTTGTTTGCTCTTGTTTTTTAAATGCTTTGACACTGGTACCTAGTGATATGCAGCCATTAAAAAGGATGGCTGGATAACTGCTTGTTTCCAGAGATGAGATGCTGGTTGTGTTTGTTACTGTACTAATTATGGCAGCCTTTATGAAATAAACAGTCTTTTCTAGATCTGAAGATGTGGAATCGTGTAGGAACAGCTCCACCTTATGGCACATGACTCTGCGATTAATCTCCATGTACCACGTGATGGTTTGCTGCCATTTCAGGCATCTGAGCGAGATGACTCTGTCCTTTGGCAGACATAAACTTACTCTAAAATCCACTCTGCATACGAGCATAAACTGTGTTAACAGATTATGTTAAAACGTGAGAACCTTTCATACATGTTAGGATTTACTACACAGAGCTCTACAGGGAGAGCCAGAAAGGTGTGTGGATGTTTCTGGCATTCTCTGTGACACCAAGGGGATCAGTGATAAGCCACTGTCTTCTGTTCCAGAGGGACCAAGTGGCATGTTGCTTCTATAAAATCAGAATATATCATGCATTAGCAGTGGTGTTCTAGGTCACTCAAAGGAATTGTAGCCTGTTAAAAATGTAGATGCACTTGTAGTGAATTTTGTTAATGGAAACATAGTAGCCCAAATCTGGATAGCCCTGAGTAATGCTGTATTCACCACTCTGGAAGCTTGTCTTGATTTTGTAGCACTTTAAGAGTTAGGAAAGTTTTCATGTCTCCAGATACTTAAAAGCTGCCTCTGCAGCCCAGTGCAAGCTCCAGTCCACAAAGGAAAAGTTCCAACGCACTACAAGGCTAGAAGGTGATTTTGAGGAAGACCTACCATGCTAAGGCTCACAGAAGGGAAGTTCTAAAATGGCATCCTTCCAGGAGAAAGATACAGTAATTTAAAGATGAGGTATGTTCTGTTGGTGGGAAAATAGAAATTCTATGTAGTTGGCTGCAAGAATAGAGAACTGGACTTAAAGACATACCCCTCTCACACTTACATCCTATCCTACTGCAGGATCTTCTACTCCCTTCATAGAACTTGTTAGGAACTGGCTTTTGTATCATAGAGAATCCAACTCCTGCTGATCTTCTGAGATCATGCTTTTAAAAAAGTGGAATTGCTGATATTGATTTGAGTAAGTATCATTCAACTGAATTCCTGAGCTGAGTCTAGACTCAAATAAAAACCAAACATGGGCAGACCAAGAAGTTAATCCTTGCTTAATTTTCATTCCTTGTTACACAGACCAGGAAAAAGGGCATGTGTGGAACTCCAGAGAAGGGATGTCCACAGAGCAGTAGCAAAGCTCATCCCCGAGATGTTCACTTGAGATATGAGGAGGAAGGAATACAGGATGTTCAAAGAAAATGAGAGGGATGACAATTCCAGGCTAGAAATGACCTAGGGCTGACATTTTCTGGATGAACAGGTGACAACAGTTGCTTGCTCTAGTTATTTATGTATTAAATTAGCATCTTAATGCCTTGCTGTAGGCTGTAAATTAAGTCATGTCTGTGAACTTAAAACTAAACATAGCCAAATAAAGGCACCCCAACTGATCATTTGGGTTTGAGGAGGAAAATAATATTACGGAAACAGGAGAAGGTGCTGTTAAAATGCGGTGAGTAAAGTGAATGTTTAGTGCTCTTCCATGTTTACATCGCAGTAGTTCTGCAGGTGCTGAGTACAAACCAGTTTAACTCCTCCCCTAAAAGCAGAGTGCTGAAATGCTGATCCAGGAGCCAGATGTGTGTTTAAGGTGGGCACCCTTTCTTTTGAGCCCTTGTGCCTTTCAGGTGACTCCCGGAGGAAAACTCAGATGACAGCAGAATTGCATCATGCCTTGGAGAACAGAAACAGCTGTTCCTGTCTCTAAATTTTAGTTTATGTCTGCTCTCATCTGTGCAGGCAGACAAAATAGGAAACTACTTGCTCTGTTTACCTTGGAGCCTGCAACTGTTTCAGTCCATATGAAGGGCAGCTTTCAGTTTTGCTCACTCTGGTCACAGCCTGTTTGTAGAACACACTTTTTTAAAATTCATTGACCAGGGCTTATATTTTCTTTTGCTATAGCTGTCTTGCCTATTTTGCCTAGGCTTTACAGGCATGCTTCAGCAGGCTGTCTGTGGAAAAAATAATTAATCAGCTTAGCTGGCTGTTTCAGTTTCTCAGCCATGTCTGTATTCTAATGAAAGAGTCTGTATGCAGGGACACTGTTAGAAAAATCAGTGCAGGGAATGTAATTATAAATATCAAATAGTGGGCAGCACTGCACTAATCCCTCAATAATTGAGGTGATTATGGATTACTAGACAGCTTGAATTTCCAAGTTACTACTTACTATTCATCAGTGTAGGCAGAAACATTGTGGGAATTTCCCAGCAATAAGACCTTAATGGCTGTACTTGTGCTCTTAAGCAATCTTGAAGGGGATTGATCAGGGCTTGGCTCTCTAGATGACTTAAGGTGATAGATGACTTAAGTGAATGGAAATGGTTTAGAAGCAGGTATCAAAAAGTGTGGTTCTAAAGCGTGCAGGTTTTCATGATGAATTTACATTCTAATGATGATTTTTTGTTGTTCTAAACATTGCAGAGAATTCTATTTTCTGTGGCATGCTACCTTGACCTGATCATAATGTGCACGCAATGAGTGTACAGAACAAACCACTACCTGAATTATCTACCAGTAGTCTTTGCTGAAAAGTTTGTTGCCTGTTTGTCCTTTTCTTTCCTCAGCTGGACCATGGGTATGCCCTCCATGCAGCAGCCAAGGTTTGCTTAAGTTCCATTGCCAGCCAGGATGTCCAAACACTGGCTGAAAGACCAAGAGCTTTTTTCTATACCAACGAGAGTGACCCGGTGAGTTGCTGCCACAATTGGTGTTGTCAGACAGCAAGTGCTTAAATTCCATCAGTCTGTCCCTGGACATGCTGGAGCCTGGAGTGCTTACTGGGTTTGTGTTATTCCAGTAAACATCAGGGAGGGCAGTACACAGGCCTAGTAACAGGCATTTATACCATCATCTCTAGCCCAAAGGAAAACAGGCCATGGATCTGCAGTGCACCTGCCTGGGTTTGAACAAGACACGGCTGGTCCTCTGCCTGAAAGCTCCTGGGAACAAGTATTGATTCCTTCTCTATAGTTGCACAGATGAGATAGTGTATTGTAAAAGCTCAGATGTGGCTTAGCTTGTCATCAGACACCATTAATTTCAACTCCAGGGTTATTCTTCCCTGACTAATTTCCCCAAACTGGCTATGAAGGGGAATGAAAAACACCCTAGATGACCTCTGCACAGCACAACTCTCCGGCATCATAATTCCAGCCTCACACTCTCCATCTCAAGCACAAAATGAAGTGGAATAAATGAATGGAATAAGCCTTTGAGGTGCTTTTCTGCTGCCTCTGTAATTGGAGTCTTTCAATACTGATTCCTCTGAGGTCTCTATGGAAACAGCAGCATGCAGATGATCTTACTCACATGATGCCAGTGTCTCTATAGATTGCACAGAAGAGTCCAGATGGCAAGGATTGTCCCTACTGTCCTGTGCCTACCATTGATGTTGCCAGGCAACAGCCTTTGGCATTCTGACTTCACATGCCTGATGTTGGGTGACAACCACCACTGCTCTGGAGCATCCCCAGTCCTGCTGTGCTGGAGGTGGCCTGTGGGGCAAGAGACTCCATGCTGCTTCAGCACAAACCCAGCAGCTCTGGCTGCACCTGTACTTGTGCCCATCAAGTCCTATTAAAAATTTATTAGGAAGACCAGATGAAAACTACATTTTTCATAAGACTGAGCTTTTTTATACCTTTCCATTAGTAAAACTCAAAGTGGCTAAATGTGAGGGTAAAGATACTGACCCATTTTACAGATGTAGGAACTGAAGAGTGAAGGAATTTGCTCAAGGTTATGCGGTATATCAGTGATGAAACTGATAATGCAAATGGTCTCTGGAGTCCATAGCTAACAGTGTCATGAAGAAACACAGGTGCTGTTAGTCTGTGTCCAACACATGCAGGAAGACTCAAGGGAATCCAGCCCACAGTCTGAAATACAGCACTGCCTAGAAAAACACCACAGTGTCTCTTCATAATTCTCCTCTTTAGTCTGACTCCAAGAAACATCTCCTGACTCCAAGAAACATCTCCTGACAGCAGAGGAGCTATTGACTAGCCAGGTTTTTTTAAACTTTCTTCCTGCAACTAAGATATTCTGACCAGTAAACACCAGATTGGCAACTCAAGCAGCTTAGAGAGCAGTTTGCTGAAGTTACCCAATGGTTTCTTCATATAAATAGTTTGGCAAACCTGTGGGTATCTCAGATCCTGCAGCTGTACTAAGGTAAGTCATCCAGTGCAGGACACACTGACCTGTCCTTGGGAAGGTGGGGAATAGGGGTGTCGTTACCATGGGCTCTTCAGAGTGGAGGGGGCAGGCAGAAGATAAGAGCCCAGGCATGTTGCATGCCTGGAAGACTGAAAATCTGGTCTGAAGAAAGGAAGGGAGACTTAACATGTAGCAACAGCAAATAAAATTACCTTCCTGGATCGTTATTGTGCAAAATAAAGAAAATGAAGTTACTATATTCTGATTCCATCTCAGCCAAAATGGAAGCAAAAGATTGACAAGCAGAAGAATATAAAGGAGGATTTTTAAACTTCAAATCCATGGAAGAGTGCAGAAAATGCAGAGCAGGGGATGATACAGGCTTCAAAGCTTGGCACAGAGCTGCTGAACGCCACACAGGAAGTACTGCAGAATAGTCTCTATACTGTCCTAATTACACAAGAGACAAAAACTGGTTACTAGATGGAGAGTAAATAAGTGCAAGTATTGCATGGTAGGTCCCTTTCCACAGGGCTGCTCTTCAGCCAGGTGGATCCTAGTCTGAAGTGCACTCCTGGGTCCCTTCATTGTTTATGGCCAGGTAGGATATCCCTTCTTTATTGTCCTCTGAGGCACCTGCCAGCACTGACATTGCAATTCCTGCTGTGCTTTATATGCTACTTCTGACTCTTAGGAAGTGTCTTACTGAGAGCAAAGCATCTACTTCCCCAGACACTCAGCAAGTATCTGCTCACTTTGATTTGGTGTCCCCTCCTTGCTCTACTCTCACAGACCTTCTGTATTCAGAAAGAAGGTGTCAGACTTGTCTGAGTGTGACAGTTTGCATTTCCCTTGCCAGGCCAAGCACACAGAGCTCCATGAGGGTCGCCACTACAGCATCCCCCTGGAGGAGCTGAGAGCTGTGTTTCCACACGGACTGCCCTCCCGCTTCCAGCAGCAGGTACTTTGTCTCAGAAAATGTGTAGCAGTGGACTGGTATGTGAGAAGAACCAGATCCATCATGTAACTATGATGCTTTCCTTTTGGAATAAGAGTGAAGAGCTGCAAGAATGCAGTTATTCCTTCCTGGTCCTTACTGTTATTTTCTACATCTAAAAGGTATCAGTCAACTTCACCAGAATAGTGGCAGAGCGTGTGAAGACAACATTCTAGCCAGTATTTTTAATCTCTTAACTTCTGAGTACGTGATAAATTACAGAAGTATCTTCCATAGTTACATTTCTATATGAAATGGGCCGTCTCATGAAATAAGTGTATATCAGTAACAAAATAATCTTTTTGATTTCTATTGTGAGCCAGATCATGCTGTGACTGGGTCAGGCTTCATAAGCAGCTAACACAGACAGCCTGTTGGAGTTTAGGAGGTTGCTTTTCTGGGAGCTAGTAATTCTAGGTGGTTGACATTGGATTGACAGGCCAGTCAGCCTCCCCTCAATCTCTGGGAAGATGATGGAACCTTATCCTGGAAACCATTTCTAGGCACACAAAGAACAAGAAAGTCATCTGGGGCAGTCAGCATCTCACCTCCCCGTGGTGACACCATGCTTGATTAGCCTGGTAAACAATGACATCACTGGCCTTGTAGACTAGGAGAGAGCAGTGTACTGTGCAGTACCAGAGGTGAAGTCACACCAGGGACAGCTGCAGTGGGCCAGCACTGGGCATCTTGCTCATGTTCTGTTCTTTTTCTCAGATTAAGACGTTCAATGAAGCCTTCGTGATGGTGCGAAAACCAGCCCTAGAACTCTTCACTTACCTGAAAAGCTCCAACTTGGCACACCCAGCAGTCAGATATGTGATCTGTATCTTTTTTCACTTACTTGATGGTAGAATGCAAATTAAACGCAAGAGTTTACAGCGATGTTTTGATCCTGTGCTGATCACTGTGGTTTAGCCTACAGGAAGTGGCTCTACCACGTCTGTTGTCAGCAAAGCTAGTCTGAGAAGTTTATGAACCTTGTATACTTTTATTTTAAGCCAGATTTGGTTTATGACACAGATCCACAAATAGGGCACAACTAGGGGAATGGGAATCATCAGCTGTAATGGGGTGGGAGGATACAGAGAGAGGGAACTCTTTAGGCTAGGTTTGGTGCTGAACAAAAGCATGATGGAATGAGCCATCCCTGCTTCTACGACCTTGGAACTTCCTTATTGTCTTTTGTGGAAGAATTGAAGTGTTTTTTTGGAGACTTTCCTTGACGGTCCATGTTGGAGATGGTGAGAAAGGAACAGGGAAGACCATGACCCTGTGTCACGTGGTTCACTACTGCGCCAGGCAGGGCTGGCTGGTGCTGCACGTCCCCGACGGTGAGAACGTCAGATACACTTATGGATACTTGAGTTATCTTTGTTTTTTCTATAAAGCTCCAAATAAAGCAGAGCATAATTAGTTATTTTCACATGCTCTCACATGCTTATAGTCAGTCTTTTTTACCCCACTGTTAATGCATGTGACAGCAGATGGACTGTGTGTGGGGCTGCATGACCTCCTTGGCTCTCCAGGGATAGTCTTGGCCACTAAGGAGGGCAGACTTTCTTGCTAGTGTAGCAGAATAAGGATAAAAGATACAAACACACACCCACCACCCAACTCATATGATTGTTTTGACTCAAAAAAAACCAACAACCAGCAACTGTTTGCTTTTCCTTACAGCTCATCTCTGGGTGAAAAACTGCAGGGAACTTATGCAGTCTTCATATAACAAAGACCGGCTTGATCAGCCTTTGCAAGCATCTTCCTGGCTCAAGAACTTCAAAACCTCCAACGAGCTCTTCCTGAAAGAGGTCTGTAGAGCCTGTCAGGCTGCTTCAGTCAGCAGCTAGGAACTGCCCCCAGGGTCACCTCTCAGGGACAGCACATGCTTCCTGTCACTTCGTGTCCAGATTCACTCATTTTTGAGAAACGTTTCATGTATGAACACATGCACTTCTCTTGCACACAGACCTACAAACCCCACCCTGCACTGGAACTCGATTTTTGTAGAAAAAGTAGTACTTTAAATCCCCCTGTGGCTATTTGCAGTGAATATTTCTCCTAAATTCTGCACTAGTCTTTTAATGCTGGCAAAGAACCAGGAATCTTGCCAGGCTGCCTTTGCACACAGTTTAATTCTAGTTCTCTTATTGCAGATAAAAACACAAAAAAAATATGTCTGGGGCAAACGAGAAAGCACGGAGGAGGGCAGGCCTTTGGGTGAAGTGGTGGAACAGGTAAGGGACAAAAGTGCTTCCACGTAATCATGGAATTTGATTGGGTTGGGGGTTGGAAGGGACCCTAAAGATCATCTAGATCCAACCCCTCTGCATGGGCAGGGACACCTCCCACCAGCCCAGGTTGCTCCAAGCCCCATCCAACCTGCCCTTCAACACTGCCAGGGATGGGGCAGCCACAGCTTCCCTGGGCAGCCTGGGCCAGGGTCTCCCCACCCTCACAGCCAAGAATTTCCTCCTCATTTCCAACCTCAATCTCCCTCTCCCAGCTTAAAACCCTTCCCCCTCATCCCGTCCTTCCCTGTCCTTCTCCAAAGTCCCTCCCCAGCTTTCCTGGAGCCCCTTCAGGTACTGGCAGGTGCTCTAAGGTCTCCCTGGAGCCTTCTCTTCTCCAGGCCCAACACCCTAACTCTCCCAGCCTGTCTCCAAAGCAGAGCTGCCTCCAGCGTTGTCTCACCTTTAATTACAAGTTCCCCATCACTGTGTATGTAGAACAAATTGCTCTGTGGATCTTACAAATACCAGTGCTGGGAAATGGAAGGCATTTCCCTGTCAACAAGGTGGCTACAAAAAACATTGTGGAAAAGGTGATGGATCTGTAAAGGAAGCTGCACAAAGAACTTAGGCAGAAGCACAAATTAGAATTTGAAAGTTCCTAGTTCACTGATGCTCAGTGACTCAGACCAGATTGCTCCTACAAAAGGAACTGTTGACTGTTTTTTTATCTTCCTCCCCCCATTAGAAAGGGCTGACAGTGTGCAAAGTTGCTGACATTATATAGTAACAAGAAAACCAACCTGAGTTATGTGCCTTTTTCCTACTTAAAGGGCTTGGCTCGGGTGAGAAATGCCAGTGATGCTGTGGGGGTTGTGCTGAGGGAGCTCAAGCAGCAGTGTGGGAAAGGCTCATTCCAACTGCTCGTGGCTGTGGACGGTGTCAACGCGCTCTGGGGAAGGACTACGCTAAAGAAGGAAGACAAGAGCCCTGTAAGAAGTGATCGGCTCTGATCACATTTCTGCATTCCTG